TTGATGCCACTTATAACATAGCTTTTCATTTATAATAAATATTTATTATGTTTAAACCAATTTTTTATTTAATAATGTGTAAATTAATATAGTTTTAAACTAAATTGTAATGAAAACATGTTTTCATTTATTTATAATAATAAATATAAATTACAAGTTTCTTTTAGACATTTTGGCTTGTTATTTTTTCTAATGACATTACTTTCTTTATTCTGGATATATTTTCTTGATTAAATGGATAGCATTAAATTTAAAAAACCATAAAGTTTAGCTTTCTAAAATTATTTACTATTTTGTTTTACTGAAATTGACATCACAATCAAAGTTATATGATCAGTTCATATACTAATATGAATTTAATATGCTATACATATCTATGGAGCATTTTGAATTAGCTTCAGACAGATGATATGTGGCCAAAAATTGAAGACTTTCCTCGAGTTCTAGATATTACCACTTGTGATTTTGTAATTCTAGTTTTGTTTGCGCTTTTGTGATAAAACTGGCATAACGAAGCTATTGTGCAAAGATATGCTCTTGCTTTCGACAAGGCATTGCCACAGCCTCCTAGAAATGTCATGCAAAATTGAGCACTTGATCAAAACCATTTGCTCAAAGAAAAGCCCTGAGAGAAGAAAGAAGTAGCCAAGCTATTCATGGAAAAACAGAAGAGGAGCTATTGTCTCATGCAAGAGCAAGCAAAAGAGGATGTGTTCAGGAAGAATGCAAGGAACAGGAGGTTTTACAACATGTGAAAGAACTGCTCAACCAAAGTGTGCTTGCGAAACTTGATGCGCTCGAGGCACAGGTGGCTGTAGAAGGCAAGCAGGTGGCTGCACAGAACATTAAGCAAAAGTAATGCGCGCTCATTGCTGTAAGGGCAGTAGCAAAACCAAAGGTTGAAGGCCTCAAAACTCATGAGCGTGAGCTCAGTTTGATAAGAAGGTTGAGGCTCTCAGAAATGAGGTTCACGATCTCAGAGCTCAAACTGTGGCTTTCCAGGCCAAGGTTCTCAACCTCAAGACTGAGCTCACTGTGGTGTTCTTTGTCATACTTCAATTTACATAAATTTTTTGTCTTGCTATCTTTTCTCCTCGGTTGTCTACTTTTTGGTGTTTTCTCTTCAATCTTAAGACGATTTTGCTGCTGAAGCTACCACAATTCCCTTCCTTTTTCTTTTTTGCTACTGATTTTTCTAGCTTGTAAATTATAGTTCAAGGAGATTGCAATCACGCCACTACATTCTCAGGTGGGTAAACTCTTGAGTTCCCGCACAAGAATTTTAGATCCATAAAAGAAAACTCTTGAAGAACAACCACATGAGAATCTTTCAACAGCACTATATCATTGGGATGAAAAGATGTTAAGTTGCAAAAACTTTCACTAATTATTTGCAAAAATGTGTCATTTGCGAAATGAAAAAGCTTGAACCATAGTTGTTATGGCATAGCTAAATAACTTGTCTGTATTTGTCAGCAAACGAAGCTCACGAGATCAAAACGGCTGACTACAATTTGTGGGTCTCATGCACCCCTGTAAGGGGCTAATGAATGAAGGAATAAATACAAAGTGGTCAAGCTTAGCAATTTCGTTCATAATGACACCTCTAAACCACTCTTGTGCTAATAAAATACACGTTTTGCATCTCTCTTCTTGGCACATAAGGATGAAAGGATGAATTTTCATTGCTCAGTTGTTTTGCGTGCGTTTGTGTTTTTCTTGCTTGGAAAGCTCTCTCTCTTTCGTTTGAGCGCCTACATTCCAATCCAATCCACAGTAGATGCTCGCAAGCGCCAGAATTGGTCCCGAGTTCCCTGGCTCCAGATCGAGCACAAGCTGCTCCGCCGCTCGAATCGCCCGCCCCAGATCCCTCTGGATCCGGCACCCATTGAGCAGCGAACCCCACACCGCGCCGCCGGGCACGAATGGCATCGCGTCCACCAATTCCTCCGCTCGCTCGATCTCCCCGGCGCGCCCCAGGAGATCCACCGCGCAGCACCAGTGATCGCACGAACTCTCGATCCCATAGTCCGCTTGCGTCGACACGAAGTAGCAGACCCCTCGATCGAGCTCCCCGGCGTGGCTGCAGGCGTCCATCACCGTGATCATCGCGACGCGGTCGGGGATGACGCCCGAGAGCTCCATCTCGCGGAAAAGCTCCAGCGCGCGCTCGGGATGCCCGGTCTGGGCATATCCGCCCACCATTCCGGTCCACGCCACGACCGTCCTTGACCGCTCGGGAACGCCGATGAACGCCTCCCAGGCGCGGTCGATCCGCCCGTTCTGGGCGTAGAGGCCGATCATCATGGCGCACGCGAGTGGATCCTCCTTGTCCGGGATCTCCCGAAAGAGCGGTTCCGCCATGGCGACCAGGTTGTTCTCCGCGGCTGCCGAGAGGACCGAGTTCCACGCCAGGCCGCTCCAATTGGGCATCCTCGCGAGCGCGTCCCTGGCTCGATCGAGCTCGCCCAGATGGATGTAGCAGCCCAGGAGTGCGGCCCACGAGACGAGATCGTGCGTGGGCATTGCGTCGAAGCATCTCTTCACCCCCTCGCGATCGCAGCGCTGGGCGTGGGCGTGGAGCATCGCCGTCCAGGAGATCGTGTTCCTGGCAGCGTTGGGCATGGAGTCAAAGACCCATCTCGCGAATTCGAGCTCGCCGCTGGCGCCAAAGGCCGAGATGATCGAGTTGCACGACACAACGTCGAGCTGTGGCGAGCGATGGAAGAGACGCGCGGATTGATCCAGGTCTCCGGCTTGGGCGAATGCGAAGGCAATGCTCGTCCACGATGCCACGTCTCGCTCGGGCATCTCGTCGAAAATGGCCTTGGCCTGCACGATCCGGCCGCTGCGAATCAATCCCTGGAGCATCGAGTTTGCGGCAACACGGTTGTGCTTCGGCATCCGCCCAAACACCCCCTTTGATCTCTCCAAATGCCCAATCCGGGCATACGATTGGAGCAGCGCTGTCCAGGTCGCGATGCTGCGATCCACGCTCGCTATGAAAGCCTCCAGCGCTCGCTCGGTTTGGCCGGCAGCGCCGTAGCAAAGAATGAGCCCGACCCACGACCAAGAGTTCGCCTCCGGCATTGAATCAAACACCTCTTTCGCGCGATCGATTTGCCCGAGCTGGGCAAACGCTTGGACCATCAAATTTCCAGACACAGCGTTCCTCTGCGGCATTCTATCAAAGTATCCATTTGCTATGCTTGTTTTACCTTCTTGAAGGAAAGCAGTGATCACTGTGTTCCAGGAAACCACATCCTTTTGCGGAGTTTCTTTAAAAAGCGTCTTTGCCTCGTACAGATGCCCGTTTTGGGCATATGCCGCGATCAAGATGTTCCACGAGATGGCATCGCACTGAGAAATGGAATCGAAGACCTTCCTCGCGTTCTCGACGCTGCCACATTTTCCATACATGATCACGAGCTGATCGGCAAGGAACTTATTCGATCTGTGGGCTGGGCAGGCCAGGAGCCGGGAGTGGACGTCTTTGGCCTGGGCGAGGTCCTTTGCTTCGCCGCAGCAGCGGATCAGTGAAGCGAGCGTCTCCTTGGTAGCTGCAGCCGAATTGCTGCGTGATGCCACCAGCCTCATTGACCAGCATTGTCGACTGAACTAATTTCATGATTAGGGTTTAAATTTAAGAGATCCAGCAAGAAATGCAGATCCACCGGAATAGGAATGTGGCAAAATAACTCACACTTGCACTAGGCTTAACACATTTTAATGACTAATTTAAAAAATATCTAAACTGTGGTAAACGATAGGTAATGGTACTTATGCAGATTTTAAATGTTTCAAAGTTCTGTCACTGTTGGTATGTACAAAATACTATCAGTCTTTAAAGAAATTTATTTTAAAAATTAAATAGTAAATGAAAAATATTTAAAATAATAAAAACAAAAACAAATTTAAAACATAAAATTTTTAAATAATTGTAATGAAAACATAGTATGAATATGGCTCATACTCATACCATGTTTTTATTTTAAGTGACACCATTAAATTAAAATTATACAAATAAATATATAAAAGTAGCAAAATTAAAAAATTAACTTCAAAATAAAAACATTATATGTTCCACACTCCATCACTACTTGTATATTATAGAAATCTATAAAATATTATAAGGAGTATAGGGTAAACCTGATCTTGCCAAAAAATAGATTTAAAAATATTTTTTTAAAACTCAATAGTAAATAAAAAAAATTTCCACAAATAACAAAAGAAAAAACCTTATATTTATAATTAAAAAAACTGCATATCAGAAACTTTATTTTACTTAAAATAATAAAATTATCATATTCTTAATTTATGTTATTTTAAATTTTACATTTACATCAGAGAAAGATAAAGTTTTACACTAAGTAAAAAATAAATGTATAAAAACAATATTTTAATGATAAAATTTATTCTTTATAAATTAGTTGAATAAGTTTTATGGTTTATGTGAAAGTTATAAAAATAATGAAGTTATTAACATTTCCAAAGTGGATAAATTTTAAAATACTCAGTTGTAAATAAAAAAGCTGTAAAACCTTTATATTTTTATAAAATAAATAACAACTAAGAAAAAAAAAAACTAAACCTTTACAAAAGGATTCCAAAAATTACACCTAACATAAAAAAAACACTATATTATAGAATAATTTTAATTATTATTTATCTTATTTTGTGCTTATAATTATTTTTATTTACTGGTAAAAATAAATAATAAATTAAAATTTTATTATTAAAGAAAGTAAAACAAAAGTCGCGATACTGGGAGGAAAGATATAACTTTGGTCATGGACTTGCATTATCACATTGGGCTAGTAAAGATCCCCCCCGAAATTTGGTTTGTACCTAACAACCGTCACCACCACAGTTTGTGCATAAAAAATAATATTTATTTAATTATGATTCTATATAAAATAAATAAATTTTAATTAAAATAAATTATTTTATTTTATTATTTTGCATTTTAATTGTTTTTCTTAATTAGAATATTTTTGTAAATTATAATATTTAAAATAATTAAAATTTCACAAATTCATATATTTTTTAATGAAGTTGAAAACAATTATGGCTTTATTATTGTTATTGTAAGTGTCCATAACTTTATTACTCCATTTCTTTATAATAAAAGTTCTTTTAACACATAAAATAAAAAGTTCATTCTATTTAAAAAAAATTATAAAAATGATTAAAAATAAAATATTTTTAAATTTAAATTTAGGGCTAAGTGTATGGCTACAATGCCGTATACTTATATTAGCGTAGTAGGATTTTGGTAGCTGTTGGATTGGTTTCAATTCAGACCACTCACTTATGTATATAAACTAGGGTTTTTGGGCTAATTGATATGCACATTTTTTATATTTCCTTTATATATTCCAAGCACTCACATTGGTCGAGGTAAGGGTACTTTTGATTGTACTTGAGGAATGTTTGGATTTAAGATTTTAGTTTAGATCTAGCTTTTGCATCGTCTAGATCTAGCTTTTTTCCATTTCCTTTCTTTTATTATTTTCTTTTAGGATTTTGGTTTAAATCTAGTTTTTTGCATTGTCTAGATCTCCATTTCCTTTTAGCTTTTTATCATTTCTCTTCTTTTGCTTTTTCCTTTTTGTTCATCTTTATGGCAAATCTACAATCTTCTCCTTTGACTTTGGAGCAACAGTTGGTACAATTGTTTGATGCTATGCACTTGCAATTAAACAACCAAACTCAGTTGATGGCGGCATTCACGGCACGTGGTACAACTCCTCCTACTCTTGGTGCCAATCCTCGCATTCGGCCAGAGTTCTTTTGTAAGAATCCTAGGGATGATGTGTATCATTGGTTCGATCACTTCACGGTGATTGCCACATATCATTCTTGGGATGATGCTCGACATTTGTGTGAGTTTCCTACGTATCTCCAAGGAATGGCATTGTAGTGGTACAATGGTTTGAGCACAGCCACTCATGAAGATTGGAGTGTTCTCCCAGACATCTTCAAACGTACATTCGGACATGTCGACAATTGTGATGATGCCTTCCAACAATTGCATCGTCTTCGCCAAGGGCCATTTGAGTCAGTGATGCAATTTGGCGTTCGTTTCCGAAGTCTTTTGCTTCGTGCGGAGCCAAATATGTCGGAGCGGATCAAGCTAGGAATGTTGTGGCTAGCACTTCGTCAAGATTTTGTCGAACTTGTGCATGCACTTGCTCCCACCACCCTTGACAATGCTTTTCGCTTGGCACAATGTTATGAGACGTTGTCTCTTCCACTTCTTGCTGCCCGTCCTTTAGCTCCACTTCCTATGGGTGATGATCTTGTTCCAATAGAGGTTGATGCTGCTACTGTTCGAGTCCAAGGACAAGGGCGAGGATGTGGTCATGGCCGTGATGTTCGCTATTGGGCGTGTGATGAAGTTGGTCATACTTATCGACGTTGTCGGCATTTTCCAGATTGGCGATCTCCATTTTCTAGGTGGAGACTTTAGCGTCAACAACATCTTATTGGTGCTGCTGCAGTGGAAGATCTGGACACCGAGATGCATCCGGGAAACAAAGAGTCACGTGAGTAACGGAGGGACCTTGCGTGAATAAGTCAGTAACCCTTCCATCTTCTTTCGGGAGTATCATCAAGGGGTTCACTCGGCACCAATTCATCAAGTGTTTACTTTCCAAGCTTGTTTTTATAACAAAAGGTCTCCTATTATTCTCTCTGTGTTGGTTGATATAGGTTCGAGTTTATCTTCTATTGCTCAACCTGTTGCCACATGTTGCCGTCTACACTTGCGTCGTGCAGCAGAATTAGTTTTTATTCTTTATGGCAATGGCTGTAAAAATGCATGTGCACGGGATGAGGTGGACTTGGTTGTGTGTGTGGGCGATCTCAAGCTTGAGTTACAGTCATTGTGGGTGGTGGCGAATCAAACTTTTGACCTCATTCTTGGTATGGATTGGCTGCAGCACAATCATGCCAAATGGGATTTTGAGGCTTCTCCCCCTTGTCTCATACTTCCTTATGTTTCATCCATTCCTTTCACTTCCATACCTTTTCGTCCCTTTATTTCTACCTCTACTTCCATTACTTTTGTTCCCCACTATTTCCTCCAATGTTTTTGTTTTGTTCTGCTCTTCCCTTTTTCAATCCCTTCGGCAATCTTTGTGTTGTAACGGTTGACTGGCTCATGAAGGAGTATTCTGATCTCTTTGACTTTGACCTATCGTTTGAGGCCAAGATTGTTACATATCACCGATTCCAACCAGGGATGCTCGTTCAATCAAGATTTTTGTTTGTCATCGGTCACCCAAGGAAATCAAGATTTTACATGCAAACGTCAAGGAAATGTTGGAGAAGGGTGTTATTTGGAAGTCGCAAAGTCTTTGGGCATATGAACCTCAACTTGTGACAAAGCCTGATGGGAGTATTTGATTTTGCATCAACTATCGTCCGTTAAACAAAGTGATGATCCTGGATGTATACCCTCTTCCTCACATTGCTAATTTCTTGGATCATCTGGGGTGAAGTCGTTGGTTCACCAAGCTAGATTTTGCTTCTGGGTATTGGCAAGTACCGATGGCCAAAGAAGATATTCCTAAGACTGTTTTTCATACATCATTTGGTTTGTACGAGTTCTTGGTGATGCCGTTTAGTTTGAACAATGCTTCAACAACTTTCCAGCAGATGATGGACAAGGTTCTTTGTGATATGCCGGAAGTGACTGCTGATTTCATTGATGATGTCTTGATCCACTCGAAGGGGATATGGGAGGAGCATGTTCGTGATGTTTGTAAAGTGTTAGATCGGCTATGGGACGTTGGTTTAAAGCTAAAGCAGTTGAAGTGTGTGTTTGGGTCCAAGGACACAACTTATCTTTGGGTATTATATTTCTTATGAGGGTTTGCAAGTTGATCCTAACAAACTTGTGGCTATTTTAAAGTTCCCTACTCCGAAGTGTGTGAATGATATGCAGTGCTTTTTGGGCAAGGTGTAGTATATCAGTCGTTTTGTGGATCATCTTTTTTATCACACTACACCGTTGTGAGCATTGTTGAAGTCATCAACATCATCTTTCATCTGGTCTTTAGATTGTGAGTGGGCATTCGTGGATATCAAAAAGCTATTAATGACTCCTCTTGTTTTGGCATATCTTGACTACACTCAACCTTTTATTTTGCGCGTGGATGCTTTTGATATTAGTCTTGGGGGTGTGTTGCTGCAAGAAAGTCCGAGTGGGCCTAGTCAGTGCCATCCTATTGCATATAAGCCGTACATTGCAACCAGTAGAGGTGAACTACTTTATGATAGAAAAGGAGTGTTTAGCAGCAATTTGGGGTTTCAAGAAACTTCATACATATCTACATGGTTCTCAGACGTTACTTGAGGGTGACCATGCTGCTGTTACTTCATTATTGAAGTGAAAGAACTTTGTTGGTCGTACTGCTCAGTGGGTTTTAAAGCTTCAAATATATAATTTTGATGTTGTTCATCACCCAGGGAGTTCTATAGCTGATGCTGATGCCCTTTCTTGAACTCCTCTTCCTTCTCTACTTTCTTCTCATGTTTTTGATAAGACTGTTGTTCTAGCATTTGATTTTTTAGACGAGGATTCTGTGCTATTAGCAGTTGCTATACTTGACGTTCAGTGTCCACAAGGCGCAAAGCAAGATCTACCTTCTCTTAATGAAGTTCACAAAGCTCAAAAGACTGAGCTGTGGATTTAAAGGCTTCGAGATGGGTTTGCATCACTTGTTGATGACTTGCCATTTTGGCATTTACATTCTTAATATCGCATTGAAGACAGCCTTCTTTATTTTGTGGGGACGGATCCTAATGATCATTTATAGCTAGTGGTGCCTTCTATCTTTATTCTGCAATTTCTCCATGCCTACCATGATTCTCTTGTTCTAGGTGGGCATATAGGACATCATTGTGTGATCAAGAAGCTGCACAGGTCTTTCTATTGGCTAGAGATACGACGTGATATTATCCAGTATGTGCGTAGCTGCATTTGGTGCCAAGCTCGTAATACTCCCCCTCGTGCCGTGGAAGGACGATTGGAGTCAATTACAATTTCCTGTTTGTTTGAGTTGGTGGCGTTTAATCTTATGGGACCTTTTCCACGGTCAACTACTGGCAATGAATATGTTATCATTGCTTCTAACTACTTCATTCATTAGGTGGAAGTTGGTGCTCTTGCTAGTGCCTCTACAACTATTGTTAGATACTTCCTCCTCAATCAAGTGGTATTTCAGCATTCTTGTCCAAAGCGGATTCTTTCGGATAATAGTCCCACATTTATGGCTGAGGCATTTTATGTTTTGACGTCTCGGTTGGGGATACACCACACTTTTACGAGTGCTTATCATTCACAATCAAACGGTTTAGTGGAACGGCTCGTTTAGACATTCAAAGGGATGATCACGAAGTATGTGAACTTTCAGGATTCGGATTGGGATGGTTATTTACTGTCTCTTCAAAGTTCTGTTGGTGCTTCACCATATAAACTTCTATATGATCATGATCCAATATTACCAACGGAGCTGGGTTTACCTTCACAATTGCCACGAGCTGCCGATGCTAGGTCATGGGATTAGTATTTGACGAACATTCTTCCATTTGTCCGAGTAAAGTCTGCCGAACACTTAGACCATATACAAGTGGGACAACAACGATGTTACATCATCCACCTCCGAAATATCAAGTGGATGACTTGGTGTTAGTCCATTTTCCCCATCTTACAGTACATGGTTTATTTAAAAGGCTCCTTGCTCAGTAGAAAAGACTATATCGAGTGTTATGGCAAGTGGGACCACAAGTTTATGAGGTTTGGCATGATGTCCAGCAAGTCAATCCTCCAAAGATTGTGCATGTGCAACAGTTAAAATGCTTCATATAAAAGGATCAAGAGCAATTAATACCACCTATAGATCTGCCAATGCCTCCTAATGTTCCTCCAGATCCCGGCCCATCTACAAGAGAACTCTGATGGTCTTTCATTATTCTGAGAGGAAGGAATGATGTGAGGGCTAAGTGTACAGCTACGATGCCGTATATTAATATTAACGTAATGGGATTTTGGTAGCCGTTGGATTGGTTTCAATCCAGATCACTTGCTCCTGTATATAACCTAGGTTTTTGGGCTAATTGATATGCCCATTTTCTGTATTCCCTTTCCATATTCCAAGCACTCACAAATCAAGATTTAGCTTTACATAAAACAGTAACTTTATGGGTGGATATATATATATATGAATATATTATAATCATAAGTGTATATTTTTTACTTTTAAATATTAAAAAAAAATTATTATTCTGTAAATTTTAAATTTTTAAAATACTTAAAATAGAAATATGGTTAAAATATGAGTTATCAATTAAAAGTTTAAATAGATGCTTAAAAATAAAGATTCATAAATTTTACATAAAAATATAATTAAATATTAGTGATATTTGTTTGAAATAACAATAATATATCATGAGGTAGTCAATGTCAATATAGAAAGTGTGTAATGAGTAAAAACTTGTTTACATAACTAAATTTATAAAGATTAAACTTTTTATAGAAAAACTAAATAAAAAATAACTAACTAGTAGTAAGTTTGGGATATATTGTAAAATTAACTTTTACTTTTTTTAAAAAACATTCATTAATTATCTGAAACATATAATAGTTGCTAAAGTTTTAATTTCAAAATTTTCTTATGTTTTTTCCATGTTTTATCTCAATTTGTTATTATGATATTTCTAAATATTTATTTTATATAATTTATTTATTTAAATTTGTAATATTAACAGAAATTATAAGTAATATAATATTGTTAAATGTTAAAGTTTTTTATTACATTCTAAAACTCTTTTATAATAGAAAAGATTACTGTTGAAAAAATAATAATTATTCAATTATTATTTTATTGAATTGTTTTGAATATGGCAAAATGATACACAATTTCGGATAAACATGTCAAACTTTGACTAAATAGTTATTCCAATCAATTAATATGTCTTTATGCATAATAATTTATCAATAACCTCATTAATCCTAATTTAACCTTATTGTATTAAATAAAAATCTCTTAATGTTCAATTTGTAACAATCATTTTCTATTAAATGTTTTATTGTCGGACAGAGAAAAGACAAAAATTTGGCGGCAAAGAAGAGCCCTAATAAGATGAACACCTCTAGGGCAAGGAAATCGCCCAGCGACAAGGCGGCAGCATGGAAGGCCAAGGTGAGTGGCGCTTTTCTTCATAGCTCTCACTAATTTCTTCGGTTGTAGCTGAGAGAATCGTGCTTGATGCGCATGAACCACCACAGGAGCCAGCTGCTCTGGGAATTGCGATCGCCAAAGTCTCAAGAACAGGTGTGGCGTGACTACCTTCATTTGTTTTCTATTGTTTTCCTTCTTCTTTGTGTTTTCCTTGCAGGTGATCAAGGAGATTATGAGCAAGGAGCTGGAGAACATCCGGATTGGAGGAGAGGACGGCGATGGTGACATGCTCTGGAACTATTCCTCTGCTGGATCAAAGTCGCCGTCGGAGCTATCGCCACAAGAGTACGAGGATCTTATGCTCGCAATGCAAGCGGTTTTGTACCAAGGCACGTATCCTGAGCAGCAGCAGCACGGTATGGATTTTTAATTCTTGGAACGACAACTTTGAGCTGAGATCTAGCTATAGACGATCTCGAGGACTACGAGAAGGCGACAGCTCTCGAGGATTCCTCGTTGGCCAGTCTTTTGGAGCAGAATCACCAGGTTTGTCGAGCTTTCTTGGCTTCCCTTCGAAACGTTTTGCGATTTCAAGTTCTCTCGCAGGAAAATGGTGTACTTTGCCCGCTTTGTCGGCGAGGATTCCTGTTGGACAAAGAAAATAGCATCAGATGCAGCAGTAATGGCTGCCTGGACTTGGGAAGTCAGCGCGACAAGCTCAAGGTGAATGAATGATTTTACCATTCAGTGCATAGAACTCGATCGAGAATGTTTGTGCAGGTGGGAGTGGAATTTGTGCGCATCCGGTTGGCAGAGCTGATGGATCAACACTACAGCTCGGGCTGTAGCAGCCAACCGGTCTTCACCTTCAAAGACGAGTTCCAGAGCCTGTTCATTCTGTGCAACTCGTGTGACTTCTTCGAGGTTGTCGTATAGATACATAGGCGAAAGGTGTTTTATACAGGCACGGGTGTTTTTCGCTCGCACGCCGGAGCAGGAGATTGATCATCAAAGGCCTCAAGAAGAGAATTTCCTTTCTCTGGAAGCTTCGTTTTATAGCTGGAGATGAGATTAGTATGTGTATATAATAAAGTTAACGCTTGCGTCTCAAGAAGCAATATTTCGGGACGATCCTGCTAGGAGCGTAGGGTAGTTTTAGAATTGCGAAATTCTTCATGAATTGTCCTCTGGATGATGGCGTCTGTACCAACGTCCACAGCAGCAGTTTCTTCGCCCAGAACAAGAATCTTACACCTCCGTAGTAAAGCTCGTGCTAGACTAAGGAGTTGTCTCTGTCCGACGCTAAAGTTTTCTCTGGCTCCTTCAATACAAAATGAGAACAAGTACCAAAGAGAAACACACCAACCTCTGCGTCTAAACGTTTAGAATTCCGCTTCACAACGTCCTTGAGATGATCTCTTTCCAGAGACTCCCAGATCTTGACGTCCTTGTGCTCGTTGAAAGGATCTAAATTGAAACGAATGCTACCTGAGATAGAAAAACGCGTCAGAAAAGACTTTGTTTTTTTTTAAATGTACAAACCTGAGAATAGAACTGGCGTCGGTGGAATGATTCCGACAGCAAGTCTCGCAATCCCATCATCGAAATGTAATACCCGTCAATCAGAATCTCTCCACTCTCGATCTCCACCAGACGGAACAGTACGCTGAGCATGCTGAATTTGCCTGTTCGACCAGCCATTCCCACCTTCTCACTCACACAGGCCATGCAGCACGGGCGGAAGATCCGGACGATATCTCATGACTACTTTGGCTCCAGCAGAAGGCCAACCGGGAGGAGGACGTCGGTTCTCAACCACGAGTGGAGCTTCCGGGGGTAACTCTGCGTAAGTCCCCACCCTTTCAACGGCGTTGAAGCTGTTTCTAGGCTAAGCTTGCTAGTCGCAATACTAACTCAAGAGCAGGCCCATCTGAGGTGCCACAGATGCTTGACTCGATGCGTTTGCATTGGCTAAAACAGCAAATGCCGCGGCGAGAAAGATCATGAGGCCCCCGATGAACTCGAGACGTATACCGAGCCACCTGTTTCCACTCATATTGACGAGCGTAAAACGGACGTTGTTATCCATTGTCTTGCCATTAAGCTCAGCAAGGCGATCATGAGCTCTGCAAGCTCGAATAGTCGCCACGCCGTTGAGTGCCTCCTCAAACTGTGCGTAAACAGGAGAGCGAGTTATAGAATCTTCCCGCATAGTGCTCTGTGTGGAAAAGAAAAGTCAGTATCAGGAACCAGAAAACAAAGATACGCTGCATAAAATCCAACAAGGAGACGTAGAATACCCCAGAGAGAGATCGTATTATCGACCCCTATGAGCACAAACGCAGACAAGCAACAGTGCCACGTTCCTGTCGATCTCTCCGGTGTCTTTAGCGAGCGGTTCACAATACGGCTGATTGGGTTTGTATGAAAGAAAGACATGAGCACGAAGGACGGACGCCAGCATCCCGTTGTGAAGACGAGTTTAAGAGCGTAATCAGAACCTGCAATTCTCGGTCAGGAACATAGAAGCTTAAACTTACAACTAGCAAGATACCTGACAAAATGACAGTGCTCCATAGATACCATTGTAAAAGTTGGGACTGTGTTCTTGACCCGAAGTTGGCTGTGTTCAATAACTGAGCCAAGCGGTGCTAGAAAGTCGAAAAGTTTCTGCCATAATGTAGCAAAGAAATAGGATGGCCACAACCCAGAATCCACCGAGAGCATTTTTGTACCTGCAAAACAGAGAAAATCAGATGCTGTATACAAGTAAAAAATATAGTTACCTCTCGATCTCTTTTTTAGCCTCTGAGTTTTTCATGTCACCATTTATGTTCTAACCATTCAGCCGACTCTTCGTCGGTATTTTACATCTTTCTGGCATTCTCCATAAGCTGCTCCATTCCAAATAAGGTCCTCATATGTTCCCTGCTCCTTTATCATCCCGTCGTGGACCAAGAAGATATAACCAACTTGTGGAAGAAAATGGAGCTGGTTTGTCGCCAGAACTCTCGTTTTTTTCTCTTAGTTCGCCACACAGACATTTGTCAAAAACTTTGCGGCGACGTGTGCATCAAGTGCACTATGGCGGTCATCGAAGACATAAACGTCCGGGGCAGCGTAAACAGCTCGTGCTATAGATACTCTTTGCATCTGCCCGCCACTAAGATTGATACCTCGCTCGCCAGTTTCTGTAAGGTCTTGATCCTGCCGAGCTGTTTAGTACAAATTATACAACTTAGAAAAACTACTTACAACTAATATTTGGAGGTCCCGTGCCAATGCGCTTCGATAGCCCTGTTGTAGCGCACTGGATCGTAAGGAGCTCCAAATAATACATTATCACGGACCTGTTCAACAAGCGTTGTTTAGTTCCGCTAGAAAAGAAAAATATCTTAGTGGCGTTAAAAATCCATGATACTTGTGGAACATATGCTACTCTTCCTCTCAATACAATTTCCATATCAGCAAGAGGAGGCAGCTCTTCAAGAGCAGCTGAAATTAAAGAGGTTTTTCCCTCTCCAGTTCCCCCAACAATGGCCACAAAACATCCAACTGGGACCTCAAAATTTATGTTCATAAGAGTAGGCCGCTCTGCCTGTTTCAGAACATTAAGAAACAAAAAACAAGAAAGTGAAAGCACAAACCTTTGGATCCCAGAAACACTAATAGCAGGTAAATCCTTCTGCATAGGTGGATTGGGTAGTAATGCGAGTTCATCGGCAAGAAGGAGCTCTTGCGATCTCGTCAAGGATACTTTTGCATTGACAGCCTGTAAGACCACACCAGCAATTGAGCGAGCATCTAAAAACATCCACCTGTTATCAGACTCGGGAGCATGAATAAGGGAAATCTCACAATAGAAGAGAATTAAAAGCTTTTGCCAGTGCGTGTAAATGCCAAATGCTAAAATTTGTAAGAAAAAACAGGAAAGCTGTTCAAGAGAAAGCTGTTTATCTGCAAGAGGAGATGTTTCAGAAGATAAAAGAAACGGTAGAACTAAGGGAAGTTACTGCAGATAAAAGCTGTGCTTTACGGAACCAACTAAGCTTGTCATTCTGAATTTTTGAGCTAAAACTATCCTCCCAGGCATAGCATCTGTGTTCCAAAAGTAAACACCGAGACAATAAAAATACGTAAGTAAATACGTAAGTAAAAAAGTTTTACTTCACAACGTCACACTTCACACTTCACACGCCGTAAGTTTCACAAGTTTTACTTCACGCCGTCACACTTCACACTTCACAATCTCCTTCCTGGGTCTCTGGGGGATAAATCCATGCGACAGCAGTGAACACACCCTGTGCAAATCCATCATCAGCAGCAGGCAAACGAGAGTTTAACAATCAACTTACTTGTGTTGCGAAGTAACCGCAAGAAACCCCGAACGCATACCTTCAATAACCATTGGCACGGTCATATCGAACTTTAAGAAACACATCGGACCAACTTACTCGTCAAGGTAATCCTTGAGCTCAAGAACAAAACGAAACTTCGTGATCTCGGCGACTAGAGCGTAAAACAAAGCATAACGGTTGCCATTTGTATTCTCTCACGTAAATCCTCGTTTCCAGGCACAGCATTATCAGGACATCAATCCAAGTAGCCGAGAGCATAGCAACATAATCATATAGTAATCACCAAGAAGAGAATAATAAAAGCCTCGTAAGGAGGAAGGGATTTGTTTCCTTCGGGATTGTCACTAGAGATCCTCAGGGCGAGCTGCGCAAGGCAGCTAGAGCGATAAGAAGAACGCTGGGCCTCACAACGGGGCCGTCCTAGGAGCACCTGATCAGCCGGATCCCCTTGACGGCGAAGAAGAGCAGCGATGTTGATGACGAGCGTGTCGGTGACGCAGGGAGTGAATGCGGCGATTCCATTCTCGATCTTCGTCTCCCAAAATTGCCCCATATTCTCGTGCAAAACCCGAGAGTACAGGCTGCTCGCGATTGGATGACCTGGAGGACAAGTCCATGGGAGGATCCAAGCGCAGCGCAATCAACCCTTTGAGAGGATGGCGTATGTTTAAGAAAGTTTATAAATTATATTGGAAGTGAATAACCTAGAATATACTTGGAGGTGTTTAAAAAGCTTACATTTATAATCACAAAAATTAACCTCAATAAATAATAACCATTAGTGGTAAAATGTGTCTAATCTAGGCATATCCACTTATAGCAATTGCTTGCCCTAGCCAGACTAGACCTCTTACTTGAGCATTAGTCCAAGTAATAAACAAGTTACAATGAAATCAAAGCAAGAAGAAGTTCAAACCTTGAAAACAATGCAATAGAGTGGGCAAGCAAAAGTCAAATGTTAAACTCCCCTCCTTCATATCCCCATTTTTAATTGCAAACTTGCAAGAGCAGAAGCTTAAGGTCCTTTTCCTGATCAGCCCCTCCGTCAAGAGGTAACGGGTTCTGGTTTGTACTTGATCTGAACAGTAATATGGTTATATAGCTGTCCTGGCTGCCAGCTATATATATCTTTCGGGATCCACAAAGACTTTGAGTCTAAATACCACAACAATGATTTCTCCATAAGTGCATGGAAAACCTCTTTAACACTTATTTTCATGGGCACATTCCACAGTGCGATCTGGCTATAACGTTATATGCCCGAGACCATCACTTACAAAGAGATCAACAGTTTAAAATTAATTAGCTAATCACAACACTAATTACTCTTCAGATTTAAGTTAAGCCAGAAAGTTAATCCAGGGCAGCTTAGCTCAATGGAGCCTTAGCACTTTTGAGTGCCCTTTGTGCGCTCTCTACAGCAATCTGTGCCTCTTTATCCGGAGGAAACCTGTAATATGCTAACTCAGTATACAAGAGGTAAGGTGTGAGTACAATCCTGCCATGTCCGCACGAGATAGCTGGGAGCGCTACGTGTTTAATGCCCTCATCGCAAGTAAATGATATAGCGTCCCTGTAATGGCAAAAGAACAATATCTCATATTTGCTACACACTCTGGCATACCTGTAAGTGAGACCAGGATGCTCAGCAGCTTCTGACTCCGTCTTTGTAATGTGAGTAGCAATGATTTTAGATGCTGGCACTCCTTGTAAAGGGCTGAGAAACAAGTCAGTTAAAAGGTGAAAAACGAAATAACGAA